TCAAGCCCTTCTACTAGGAGTTGGTAGATACTGCTATTAGAAAACAAGGCAGCAAACAAGGACACAGCCCAAATCCCAGGAGCCTCCCGGGCCCCATCCCTACCTCCATTCTCCAATGGCAATGCCACCCAACCTTACTGCACATGTAGTTCCAGGTTTAGGACTTTATGTCAGTTTTATAATCTTTTCCTGACCAAAAGACTCTTTTGAACACATGCATTTGCTGCCTTTGGTTTCTGTTGCTTTACTTGGGAACAAGAGATACTCTTGGCCTTCATCTTTTCCCATTTTTAAAACCAGAAGGGACATCTGGCAGAGTATCCACCCCCAGGGCTTCCTCCTTCCACTTGAGATCTGCATAGGCACAGCTCAAGGTAGCCTGAATTTGCTGACATCCACTCAGGCTGTAATTCCTCTTTATCTGAGCAGTCACAAGGCACAGGACACCAGAAAGCAACGTTTCTGGCCAGCCCAGATGCACGACACAAGAGGCAACGTGACCAACAGCCAAAGACAGCTTGGCACAGCGGGCAGAGCACAGTGATACTGCACTGGCCATGTCTTTCTTTGATTCTTATCCCTTTGTATTTTGGAACACATATCAAAAATGCCTACAGCCTCAAATGTCCGCCCTAGTAGACAGGAAGGTTCAGATCTAAAATCTTAAGGAAATGAATCAGACGAGAGTCCTCATGTGCTTTGCATGATTGTAGAATGTAAAAACGAAGGGCGAAGAAAGAGAAGCAGTTTTACTGATACAACTGCAGAAGAACAAGTGCAATGGCTGCAAGTCTCAGGCCAGTACAAAGCACGTGGCGAAACGCATAGCCAGGGAACACCATGAAGCACTGCCAGAACAGGGGAAATGCAAATCGGCCAAGAAAATTATGTCAAATAAAACATAAGATGAACGCATGATGATGCATGGTTTTTTTTTTTTTTTTTGGTAGTCTTAAGGGAGTAGATGTGTATCACTCTATATGTTAGAGTTAAGATCTTCTCCTACCCATTTAACAGCCCTCCAGCAGCTTACTTCTCCTCCCAGGCTCCCAGTACAGCTAAGAAACCCTTGCACGAACACTGCCCAGCCACTGTGGCAGGGGGGCACAACCACAGCAGCTCAAGCAGGCTGACCTATTTTTCACTTGTTTAGGCAAATCCAGATGACTTTGTGCTGAAGCAGATAAGGAATGCTCACATATTTTCGTCTGAGCTACGGAAAGAGCCAATTTCAGCTGGCGGGCAACATCTCGATCTGCTACAGCAAAATCCAGCAGCAATGACCAGTCTATACGCCCACAGTAACAAGGTTTAAAAACAGTACAAATAAGATATCTCTGGAAGGAACAAGATCATCATTACTAGATAGATTTTCATACTGTTAAATAATAACTAGAATTATCTAAGTTGCACTGGTTTGCTTCAAGTCAGAATTTAGTGGGGAACACATGAAATTATGATGTAGACTGCACAGCCCCTCTGGGCACCTGCTCCACTGTTTCACTGTCCTCCCTGTGGACCAGTTTTTCCCAATACCCAGTTTGAACCCATCTCCTTCCAATTCATGACCCTTGCCCCATGTCCTCCCATCAGGTACCACCATGAAGAGCTCTCCTCGTTGACCCTCCTGGGGACTGCTGTGGGTGCCCCGAGGCTGCCATTGCTCCAGGCTGCCCAAGCCTGGCTCCTTCAGCCTCTCCTCCATGGTCTTCCAGCCTCAACCATCACAGTGCTCTGCTCCTGAACCCACTCCGGTTACCAGCATCTCTCCTGCTTGAGGAACGATGCCCCAGAATGGATGCAACGTTCTAGCTGCACTCTAGTGAGCATGGCATTGAGGGGGACTGTTGCCCACCTTGATCCTGCCCATGCTCCTGCCCACCCGGCCCAGGATGTTGGTCATCCTTGGTGCCAGGGCATAACACTGGCTCAGGTTCAGCTTGCTCCCTACCAAGCCACCTGCACACTTTTAAAGCTATCCCTTTTATAAAAGCACAACATAACTGTTTTTTTTTCTTCCTTACAGCTTTGTATAATTACCTAGTAGTATATTAACTGTGAGAGGCTTCACCACATCATTCCACAGGTAGCAATGCCAGGGTAAATCATGAGCCGGGGAGTTACAGCCTTATAGAGAAAAGCCAATTACACAGCAGAGTTCAAAATCTAATATTTGAATCTAATATTTTAATTTAAAATTTCTCTAAGGAAAAGCTATTCCCATAAATTTACAGTCAGACGTCCTTTTACTTTATTACGTACAGAAATAAAAGCTTCCTTTTGAACAAGAACCTTTCTTCTTTAGAGAAAAGCTTTCAGAATATAGAGAATTTTTATATACTGAGAAAATTTAGGAGGCACTCTGACAGTTCATATTTCCATTTCATTTGCTTTAATTTCTTGCCTAAAACCACATTATGCTGTTATGATTTAAAAATAAAAGTGATCTCCTTTGAAAGCTTTGCTACAACTTTCTATTTAATTTTGGCAGCAAACATAATCAATTCATTTCCCTTTCTGCTTCTTACACCTCCACACATCACCAATACATTTGGACTTCTACTGACAGAGGCAAGAAAAAAAAAAAAATAAAAGCAGTTTCTGTTTTTACACTAGTTTTAACAGAATTAACGTTCCCCTTTTAACCCCAGCACTTCAGTTAAGTCTGCTGAGGATCATATGAAACTTTGAAGACTTGGGTTAAGGCCGTTCCTTCATCTATCAGTGGCCACCCTTTGGGAAGCTCGTGTGCTCCACGGGCCACGCACCATATCTCGCCTTGCAGAGCTAAAAGAAAGCAGCTCCAAGCTGTAAAGGAAGGACCAGCTTTTGGCTAAAAGCTGTTTGCACAGTCTAATTCACTTCTGTAACTACGCAGTACTTGCTAATTGCCCAGGCTAGGATGTTTAAACACGGGCTGGTCTCCCACACACTGTCTCTTGTTCATGGCTAATCCTGCAGTGAGGTCAAATAACGCTAGCTCTGAGTCACCACAAACATTTCCAAGGCAACTGGCTGAATATACAATGTAAACACATGATTACAGATGCACAGTTCAGGAAGGAGGAGGAGGAAGAGTTGGGCTGAAAGAAGTCATGCTCTTATTAAAAGGAGAATAGTTAGTGCTGAAATAACACCAGACAAACATGTGTCTCATCAAACAGCAAGATAAAATTATTGTTTTCTTCCACTTGCTTCACCCCACAGCCCCCTTGACCATCAAATCCTTTTTTTTTTTTTCTCTCTCAGAGATAGTATCTCTGAGAGATAAAATTAAGCATGAACACAGAAGATGGTGTGACGCAAACAGTTGTTTTAAAATATATATAAGGTAGGTGTTGCCTCTGCCCTCATACAGCAGTTCTGAACAGTGTCTGCTGACAGTCAGGGAACAGGACACTTGCGTGAGGTCCGGTTAAATTTGTCCCTGATATAAGCTGCATTTTGGGATGGGAATTATCTCTCTGTAGCATCTCACTCCACCCAGCCATGGATCAAAACAAAACACTCATTAAAAAACAAAAGAAAAATAGAGAGTAATTATCTACCTTCCCTTTGAATGGGAAGTGAAGTCAGACTCAGTTATTGCTACCAATATTGGCAAGAGGAGACAGAGGGAACCCTCCCTGTGACTCAGCTCTGCTTGGGACCAGCGAGACAGCTCGAGCCAGGCTCTGTGCCCATCGCTGTGGGTCCAGGTTTTGCAGTTCATGTCCTACCCGAGCAGCGCGCGGCTGCGAGGAGGATGCTAGGCTAAGTCATGGTTGGAAGGCGTTACTTGCACGGAAATCCCATGAAGGATGCCGGTTCCTTTGCAGACTGAGAGGGAACACAGAAGCTTTTCAGTTCTTTTCTTGGCAATTCAGTCATCCCTGTCCCACGGGGGAGGTGAGGTCATGGCAACTGATGCTCTCAGAGCTGCCGCGTGTCCCGTGTGCGTGACACAAAAGCAAGCTAAGAGCTCCCAGCTCGCCCTCTCTTCTGGGAGAGGGTAATCACTAACCGCATTGATTGCGCTGGGTTCCAGTAATCAGAAGCTGTGAAAAGACTTCTCTTCCCAAGCAATTTCAACACCCCATCAGCATAAAGAGAGATGGAAGCGAGCAAATAAGATGGCCAACTTCTAGGCACTAATCACTGGGAGGAAGCATCATATTTCAATTGCAAGTTCTTCACACCAAACTGTATTTAACGTAGATCTCGCATAAAACAATAGGTACTAGAGATAGATTTTAAAAAAACAGACTTAATTGCATAAGCTATACTGTATATAGTGAAAACATCGCACATTTTTCTCACACTAGTATCATGTCCAAATGAAAGGTTAATGGTGAGGAACGCAGCCTGGAACACGCTCATTCCCACGGTCCTGAAGTCACCAAAGGAAAATGCTGGGCAGATTTTTCTTCTGTTTTGTTAACTGCACAAAGCCATAAAGAGAGAGGTGGGCTTCAGTGTGAAAACCCGCCCCGTCTGAACGCTCTGTGCTGGGTGCAGGGCACCAAGCACTGCATGTCATTTCTCCTGCCTCCTTCAGAGGTGCTGTCACCGGTCTGAGCTGCACGGCAGGGCAAAGGCACAAAAGGGCTGTATTTCAACAGCAACAGGAACAAACCTCTGCAGGTTAAACAGTTCCCAGGTGCAGCTAGAACCTCCAGGTTGCAGATGACTTGAGCAGCAGCAGCATCGTGAACCTTGCAAACATGGCTGCTGCTATCTAGCTTGTATTTAGAAGTTGTTTTACTATGTTTAAACATAATTTCATTTCATTAATTTACTATGTTTAAACATAATTTCACATTTTCTGCCATAAAATTCTCTATATATCCAATATTTGTTATTTCACAGTCACGTAAAGCCAATAGCAGTCATCCAAACCACGCATGATGTTTTCAGTGGATGTGTAAATGAGGAAAAAATGGCACTACATTTAAGTTTACTTGAATTAACCAAATGTCATACAGTGGTACATTGTTTTGCAAAGAAAGGCGAGTGCTTACCAGGAGCAATTGTCTCCAAACTCCCCGGATTAATCTTTCTAGTGCTGGTGCAGTGTTGGACAGTTGAGCCAGTAAATATCAAATAAAATACTACATCATCCTCGACTTTATCTTCCTCAGTCAGCTGCACTGTAATTACACAGTCACCCTAGGAGAAAGGACAAAAACAGAAAGTTAGGTTATGTTTGCAAGACCCGCATTGTATAAAATAAAGCCTTTCTGACTCCAACGTTCCTGATTCTTGTTCACACGCCCCTTTCACACAGTTTGAGCTCATTCTGATTTTCAGAAGTGCAAATCCTCATCAGGACCTTCTCAGGCAGACTGTACGCAGCGTTACAGCCAGCGCTCCATCCAGGGAGTATGGTGAGCACAGCCCTGGAAGGAGATATTCACAGGTCTCGAGGACACCCTCAAAATAACACGAATTCAATGTGGTCAAAGCATATTAGCACCTAGCATTTTCCTAAAAACATGAACATATACCCATACATAATTTTATGTATACACACATCTACCTATCCCCCCACATACATAATAAAGCAGGAATAAGCCATCTAAAACTGCTTCTGTCTTCAGACATTTGAATAAGCAAATTCCTTATTTCCTTCTTGTTTGAACACCCACCTTTTCCTCTGCCATGCTAGCCACTAAGCTCACAGTTTCAGTGGACCTAGTGTAAATACTGAACACATCTCATCCTCAATCTACAAATCCACTAAGCTAAAAAAAAGGTTCATTTCTGTTGAGACTTTCTTCAGCTTCCAAGAGAAAAGAAGATGGACAACTAGGATGTAGCAGGCTGTGACATGCAGGCTATGTGCAGTAGTGACTCCAAAAATCATGCAGGGCAGCACTACTATAAGCACACACTGCTTAGACCTGCATATGAGATAAATATGCTACCTGCTGTTAGAATCAAAAATTGAGTTTGCTTTCAGCGAGCTATGTGCTTGCATGCACATGTAGAAAGCACATTCCGTGTTATCCCCACGCAGTGCAACGCCGTTTCCCAAACCATCATGGCACAGACACGTTCACATCCGCACTGCATGGAGTACACGCAGTACTAAGTAGGAATGTTCAGCCAAAATGAGATAAATGGTAGATTTTTCTTCTTACAGATCATAACCAATAGCTTTTAAAACGCTGCCTGTGTAAGAAGAAAAATCTGATGCTGACATGATATAGTAAATACAAGGGCAATCCGTAAACCTGCACGTACAGCAGCAGCATCCCCCAACTTAGACCTGCCATGGGGAAGGGAAAACGAGGCAGATGCTTTGCAGTAACAGCTGCACTAAGACAAGGATGTTCATTTGCTCTCCCTACCCACCAGCTATGTGCCTGAAGAAGAATTATATAAACCACAAGACACTGAGAACAACAGACTATGTTGTGACCTTCTGCTCCTTTTCTATCAAGATCAAAACCAGTTGGATGTCCCAGTTTTATGCTGCAGCTGTGTTAGTCAACCCCCTGCCACCACTGAGCATATGGTTAATGCTGAAAATCTGGAAAACATTTTTTTTTAGTGAATTATGTAATTCTAATTTGCAAATTCAATAAAATAAGCATGTCATTTCATTTAAAACCTGTTCCTTAAGATCATTCAGCTTATTCCCGTTGTCAAATGTAATTATTGAAGAAGAATCTTGAGACTTCCAGGCCCTGCAGTACAGCACTGCCACCCATGCCAGCACCATTGGCCATGCTCCTTGTCAGGGCTCCTCCTGTTCTCTGACGACTCCTTCGTTTCAGCACAGCTGCTTTCTCCGAGTTCTTGCCTTGGTCTCCCGCTCCTTGATTTGCCCCATCCACACACTCCCAATCCCGGCACATCCCAGGAGACAAGGGGAGACCTCCTACCAGACCTGGGGAAGCTGGAGCTCAGCTGCTCCACGTACCTCCCACCCACCACTTTTTGGAGACCCCTTTCTGGTGCCCTTGGCTTTAGGGAAGCCCTCCAGCGCTCCAGGACCTCAATTCATCCTCACACAGGAAACAAATGCTCCTTTAGCATGTGCAATTCTGTCCAAAAATTCAGAAGGGAACAGAGCAGAGAGCGTGCCAGCCACGACTTCAACATGAGAAATGTTATCTGCTCTGTCTGGTACCACTTGCCAAGGACAGAGTCGCACGGAGTATTTTGATAGAAAAAAGGGTTTTTTTCCAGCATGGTACACATCCAGCCTCCAGCCTTAAAAAGAAAAATAATGGATCAATCTCATACCACAAAAAAAGAAAACCATGAATTAAAAAAAGTGGACCAGAGAAGCTATTTTACATTTCCACCAGCTGCAAAGATACAAATATAAATTTAGGAAAGTTATCACATGATAATATTTGACCAGACTTCCAGCTGTGGACAAAAGAGCCATGTAGCAGAAATATATATTGTATATACTCAGTGCTAAAATAAAAACAGGTGCAAAAAGGTTAAGATTTAAATTCAAGCATGACCCGTTCACATGCTGAACTGAAAGCTAAATATTAAATTCCAAGCAAATGGATCCAGTTTTGAGCGGATGTTCAAAACACAAAGCTCAATTTTAACATTCAAAAAAAAAAAAAATCAAAGCACAAAGGTTTGTATTTTTTTTGTTCGAACTGTTCCTCCCTTAAGGCATCAACACACAAAATACTTAAATCAGCTTAAAATGTGGACGACATCTAGGGCCGCTCCTCAATAGTGCTGACTGCTTAAAGCAGTATTTGTTAAATGATTTTTTTTTCCAATTCAGAATTTAAGCACAGCTAGCCCAATTTCCATGACAGTAAATCTGTCACATACATTTGAAAAGACACTTGTCTATACATGTGGTAAATCCTTTGCCAATGTAACATTTGATTTCACGGAAAACCAATTTATTTTTCAGCACTGTTGCAAAAGATTACATATAAAGTCAGTAATAGTACACAAAAAAAAGAATAAAAATGCAGTGCACTGCCTGTATAAACACAGGCCAGCACCCTCTACACAGAGGTTCCACATAACTCAGGGTTTGTCTAACCAGGACTTAAAAGAGGTGGTTGAACTTCCCCCACAGGTAACACGACCATAGGACAGAGACCAATTTTGTGCCTCCTTTTGGGGGCTTGGTTGGTCTTGGTGGCTGCTAGCAGTTACTTCCAACCAAAATTATTCTGTTTCACTATTCTATTTAGTTTAGCTCTATTTAGTCAACTGTGTGCTTAAGTCTAGCAAAAACACAAATTATCACCAACTCTATCCAAAGGACCCCTCAACTTTATCTCCACAGCTCTTCATGGAGACACATTTCACCACCACCCAGGGGAACGAAGACTATGATAGATGAGCACATTTTTTTTAAACTTTAAATTTGAAGCTGTCTTCATACATCATTAGCAAGATAGATGAGGTACTATTACTAGGCTGTAGTAAGTACTATTACTTGCAGGTATCTTCTGAACTAGCTCTTATCTCTACCACACGCAACATAACTCATTGTATAAAGTGATCTGAGATGTCAGAATAAGAGGAAAACCTACAAAGCACCAAAGAAAAGTCCTTTAGTGCACGGTTTTACTCCCCAGCCATTAACAATTCTGCTGTTCACTGCCAACTTTAAAAGTAAAGAAAGTTGTATTGAAACTGTGCATCTATTTCAAAAGGAAATAACGTACAGAAGAAACTTCTTTCAAACATGTCTGGAGTTAAAGAAAATCAGTTACAAACACAGCCAAATTCCTTCAACCCACATAGAAGAGTTTCCAACAGCACTATTGCAACTCAGCCTCTAAAAACATTTTAATTGAAGTATGTTTACCTTTATTCCCTTAATATTACCCAAATATGTCATCTGTTCAGTATCACTGCCACACAAGGTGGTTATTATAACCCCTCTTTCATCCTGATGGTTAGAAATGGAAGGCTAGTCTGCCAATATCCCCTTGGTGAAAGTACAGATAGATCAAAGCAATTCTCTGGAATGCTCCAACAAATATGAATAATTTAATTTCAAAACTAGTTTGGATTGACTAATATTTACTTGGCTTGGAGCCCATTGGAAATGAAAACATTCCATTTTTGTCCATTCATGAAAAAGGTCATCTTCATTTTGTTCTAAAATTCCATGAAAAGGCATTTCGGATAGCTGTAAAATGATGTAAAGAATGTGGATGCTGCTCCTGACTGTAAATCCCTTCACTTTCTCAAAACGGATGGAGAAAACGTAAGACCTGCCTCATTAAGCGACTAACGCACTGGAGAAGGCAGCCCTCATTTGGGGCTTGGAACTGAACTGCTACCTCAGTCGAAGCAGCCTAAACACAGTTATTGCTTCTAAGAAAAGTTTTTAGGGAGAAAATAAGAACCCACCAACCATCAGTTTGCTTTGGCAGAACTGGGATATTGCCGCAGCTGAAGTAGCTGCTTTTCAGCTGCTTCGCTTACAAAGATACAGAAACTGCATGACAAAGCATGAGCAGCTTTGAGTAAGGTTGCTTACAAAGATACAGAAACTGCATGTACACAAAGCATGAGCAGCTTTGAGTAAGGTATCTGTGTCTGAAAAGGTGGAAGATTTGCCTTCAAAGGATGTTTATAGCTGACTTCACCAGTATTTCCAAATGACAGTGAAGCTAACAGAACCCTTAAACGCAAAAGGATCAAGATTGCCTTTATAATTTTTTAGTTCAAAACAGTATTCACCTTCTAAAAAGTAGTAATTGTTTTAAGCATGTAAAGACATCTTTCCTCCTCCTGTCAGGCTCTGGAAATCTGCTTTATGAGAAATCAGTCATGCTGGATCCTGTGTAATGGGATCACAAGGATGGCCCTTGCAAATCCACACATTCAAGACCTCAGCTGAGAAATGTTTCTCTGGCAAGGTTTAGGTTTCCCTGGGGAACAGCAGTTCTACAAGCTACTGGCATGTTTACCTAAGATAGACTAGGCAGGGAACATACCCTTAACCTGCCCATAATGAATTTTCAAGTTTCTACAAAAAGACAAGCTGTATTTTTATACATGAAGCATGTGATTTCTAAAATGTTTTTTCTCATGCCTCCTATTGGGAGTTTACAAGCACGTTACCTGACCCACTAACCACCCACTCTGACCTCCCCACACACACACAAAGGCTAAAAATACATATGGAAATGAAGCATGTGTTGCAAAGCCAT